TTTTTTTTTTGTTTTTGTTTGGACATGTGTAGACTTGTGATTTTTTCGGCCCAGTTAGGGTCTCGATTATATACATGTTGGGATCAGACCTTAATTCCCCGTCATTCCGGGGTGTTGCTTCGTTGAAAAAAAAAAAAACTCTAGCAACATATTTTTTGGAGGTAGTGAAAACAACGTCCATGAATATCCACAACTGATATCCGACTAGCTCTGGAGTAATTTTCTTCGAGTCTCATCTGATGGAGATGAGATTATTTCTGATTTGATGGCGAATCCTTTTCATGAGGTGGGAATTATAGAGATGAGATTGTATTGACTTCTCTGGAAAGCATGATTGTTTGACATCATTAGTCTAGTTATTTATTACTTTTATTTCATTGTTATTCAAGTATTTTTATTTTGTCAATATTTTTATTTTGGTAGGTCACTTTTGAGGGAAGTATTTATGACTTTCAAGTTTCATCTAGGTGTGGACCTTTTATTAAGAAATATGAAAAACAAGAGTTCTCTCTCAAATTCTCTTGTCCCTACGCATTCGCTATGTCAAATCTTTGCTTCTCCCAAACTTTTTGCTTTCACTGCAAATCTGTCATTATATAAAAAAGAATAACCTTTTTATGATTTCCCGTCAAAATTTACCGCCAAAATCATTTAATGAATAAATGCGGCGCTGGTTTTTTATGGTTCTCTTTTTCTTATTTTGTAGGTTAACAAAATAATAGATTGGGTTGATTTGTTTCTCTCTAAAAACCGCGATAGTTTTGTGATGTTTCCCTTTTTCTTATTTTTTAGGTTAACAAAATAACATATTGTGTTTAAATTGTATGTAATCAAATTTAGTTAGATGTACGCTATAATAATAATTTTGAAATTGTATGTAATTAAATTAGACTTATAATATTTTAGATACTTTAAACAAATTGTTTAGATTTTTTTTTTTTTTTTACATATTCGTCTATATATGTATACACACGTCTATATAGATATATACACACACACATATATACATAATTGATGTTAAGTTTAAATATTCGTAGACATGTCTTCTTTACAAAATACTCTAGAAATATTTTTTTTACACAATGTTAAATTCAAATGTTTTTAAATATGTTTTCCTTTCTAAAATTGTTTAGAAAAGTTATAGGTGACTTCACATCTTTCAAAAATAACATAGAAATTTTGAATACTTTCATATATACTAATATAATATTTTAGATGTTTTAATATTAAACATCCAAATTTTATATTCTCTTATACAAAATAATGCAAATTTTATATTCTCTTATACAAAATAATTTTACATTGTTTGACCTCGAATCTTTAATTTATAATTATTAAGTATCGTTTATCTTCCTTTTTAATTTATAATTATTTTTTCTTCCTCTTTTTAAATAAGATCAATAGTAGTTTCCACTTCCGTCATTGACTGACTAAAACTCGATGTCTATTTATAATATTGTTGATTTAATAGTGTTTTCGTGCATTACACGGGGTACACACTAGTGGGATAAAAACAAGGTAGCTTAAAAACTTTACGAACTATTGAGATTATTATTTTTTTATTCACTAGAATTTTTAATAATAAAATTGGATCTTTGATTCCCTGTTTCAATAATAATAAATAAAAAGAATATAAGAAAAGAAGGAAAGACTAAAAGGAGGGAGCAAGGAAATATATTTAGGTCGCTACATTTTCATATGTATGTACGTTATAAGACCTCCAGTCTTCTACGCTATTCTAGTATAGAGTTTACTCCTGTAGAAGTAGAGAATGTCGAAATAAAATTGTCGTCTCCGGTCGTTTCGTGCTACAGTTTATTCTACACTTGTAGAAATATATTAGTACAAAATAAAATTTAAATACAACAATACAATCAAAAATTAAAATTTGAAATACTGTTTATAGCGCGGTGAATAGTACAACGCTATGTTGTGCAATACTGTTTATATCTTCTAGAGATGTGATGTGAAGTAAACTTAATTACCTTACAATTAACCAATTAATTAGCATAATTAAACTATTGTAGCAATTAATGCGAACCAAAAAACTTTTTTCATTTTCAAAGATTTTGTTCAGTGTTAAAACTCTTGAGGGAGAGCTTTGCCGCCCTTGTGGTTCTACCCGGCTCGATTCCGGATTAGTCGGTTCCCCTGTGGATCCGGAAACCGGAATGTCCTTGTAACAAAAAAAAAAAAAGATTTTGTTCATAAACCAAGTTGGAGTTTAATGCTCTTCGAATATGATAAATACATTTTTCTCTCGTTCTTTCAATAACATGAATTAAACAGATTTTTTGTTTTTCTTTTCACACGAAAAAAAAAAAAGAAAAAAAGAACAAAATGGTCTATATATCTATCTTAGTGTAACTGGCTTTAAATTATGCATTTACTTGACAGATGCAGGAAGTGGTGAACGACTGCAAATCGGTGGTTTTTACGGGCCACTCCGTGGGAGGCGCCGTAGCTTCCCTCTCGGCCCTTTGGCTCCTTTCCACCCTCCAATCAAACATCCACGTCCTGTGCGTCACGTTCGGCTCTCCAATGCTCGGCAACCAGTCGCTGTCGCGGGCCGTCCTCCATGAGAGGTGGGCTGGCCACTTTATCCATGTTGTGGCTCAAAACGACTTAGTCCCGTTCGCCCCTTTCATGGACGAGCTGCGTTCCCTTTTAGAGGAACAGCTGAGGGGTGGCGGGGCCCACGGGTTCTGGCCGTTTGGGAGTTACATGTTGTGCAAGGGGGACGGGGCCATCTGCCTAGACAACGGGCTGGCTATCGTGAGGTTGCTCTACTTGATGATGGTGGCCAAGGGGAGTTCGACGTGCGTCGGGGATCATCTCGAGTATGAGGCCTATGTGGGGAGGCTCTGCTGGCATTACCTGCTCAAGAGGCCATCAGCGGACGTGTCCATTTTTGAGTCGACCAGCCAAGCTGGGACTGAACTCGCGTTGCGTTCGTCAGGATTGGATTTCGAGGTAGTTACACTTTTTGGGAAATCTCTCTCCACAGTTTTATTCATAAATTCAACATATCACTGAAATTTAATTTAGTCTCTGTTCATAACCAACTGATAATTTGCTCTCTCGATGCAGGAACCAATCTACGGGGTGGCGAAAAACTGTCTGACAATGGCGAGACAAGTGGGTTGCAGCCGCAATCTCAACGCCGCAAAAATGGCAGTCTCCTTATCGAAAGTGACTCCCCTGCGAGCCCAGATCGAGTGGTACAAGGCCTTGTGCGACGAGCACACAGGTTACTATGACTCCTTCAAGCGGAGGGGCGCCTCCAAGCGGGACTTCAGGGTGAACCTGAACCGCATCCGCCTCGCCATCTTCTGGGACAACCTCCTATCCATGCTCAACTCCAATCAGCTCACTCACGACTTCCACAAGCTCCCCAAGTACGTCAACGCCTCCAGATTCTACACCCTCCTTGTCGAGCCCCTCGAGATAGCCGAGTACTACAGGACGGGCACGCACAAGAAGAAAGGGCACTACATGGGCCACGGTCGGGAGAAGAGGTTCAAGATTTTTGATAGGTGGTGGGCGGAGAGGAAAGTAGGGGACGAGGAGAATGGGCCGAGGAGCAGATTCGCGAGCTTGACCCAAGACTCGTGCTTTTGGGCTAGGGTTGAGGAGGCTAGAGATTATGTTTGTTGGGTGGAGTCGGGCAGGCATTTGGAGCTTTTGGGGGAGATTTGGAGGTTCGAGAGGTATGCACGGGGGTTGGTCGAGAGGAAGGAGGTGTCGGTGGATGTTCTGGCCAAAAACTCGAGCTATAGGATGTTTGTGGAGGAGTGGGAGGTGCTCAGGTCTCGGTTGAAGCTAGTGCCTGCTTCTAGTTTGGCTACTCAGGAAGCTAAGGTTCAGGAAATTGAATTGGATGCAGAGGCCGACTTTGTATCGCCTTTGCACGATTGCAAAATGGTGTCATGACCGGGTTTATAAAAATATGTCTTGTTTTCCACCCGGTTTTTCTTTTCTTTTTTCTTTTCTTTTCTTTTTTTTTCACACATATATGTGTATGTCTGTAATTAAATTAGAATTACCTGTCTACTGGGGCAATTCAGGTTGCTACAATGTCCCATATATTAATATATATAAGCATATTGTTATAAATATATTAATTGTGGACAATACTAATATATGTATTGGGCTACAAGTCCATTAGTTAGGTTTAATTAGAGTCAGGTTTCATATTGTAAATCCTGTAAATAAGGATGTATACAGATGAATGGACTGAAAAGAAACTTTATGTTGTTTTTGTTGTAAATATTAATTTATGGACATTACCTAGATATAGGATTTGTAGGTATGAGCCAGGAGCCCATTAGGTCTTTAGTCATGTACATTGTATTCCCTTATATATAGGGCTCAAGTGAATGAATAAGATGAGGGTTTTTTGACGGCGTATCTCTTCTCTCTTTTTCTCTTTTACTACTTTCTCTCTTTGTCTATCTTGTCTATCTCACATATTGACAATCTATATTACAAC